TATATTAATATAATATAATAAGTTATAATAGTAACAGACAATTAATATAGTATATTAATTGTTTATTATTTTTGTTTTTTTTTTATGTAACTTTATGCAACTGTGTTCTTTATTTTCTGCTGTAACCTCATTTTCGCTTGCTAAGCACTTTATATTGTTTCATGTTGGTAGAAATTCGTAAATGGCATTGGATTACTCATATTTAAACATAGGTACTATAGATGTATTATTTGTCCGTGAATTTTCCTAAAATGTATAAATAAATTAATTACAGTTCTCTTAAGACGTAAATTACGAAACACACAACGGTTAGTGACAGAGCGCGTGAATGTACGACAAATGTCAACGAAATAGGAGTATAATTTTATTTTTAAAATGGCATGATACACACACATTATTTTGTCAACTCAATTTACTTTGCTACAAAGGGTGAACACCTGCAGTTTTTTTAGTCATTAATATTACTGTTGTGTAACTAATATCTAATGTAAATTGCGGTAACATAATCTAAATAAAATCACTTCATTAGTACATAATGTACTTCCTTCAGCGGGTACGGGTCATGTTTAAAGAGAGGGTTCAATTAGGTCACAGATCACCACCCCAGCCCGATACGGGTTGGGGTGGTGGTCTTGTACTAACCCAACCCGAACTTGGGGCCTTGATGTCATCATTAAAGGATTCTTATTTACTTTTAAATATGAATTAAAATGTATCGTATATTACATGTATGTCTTTTTTAAATTTTTATGATACCAAGTGACGGGACGAACGGTTGTGTGCCTGATGGTAAGCGACACGCCTGTCCATAGTAGTTGCAATGCCAATCAGAGCTTTAAATTGCAATCGCTGAGAGACGTTGCCACTGAGCCCGTCACCCTGAGACAAGTCTCTTGTGAAGACAGTTTCACCAGCACTCTTAAAACGCAGTTATGTTCACAATACAGGTTGGCGGTAGAAATAAGCAATGTGGCAGTACTTCCGTGGACGAACTCTGTCACAAGAATCTCTACTGCTAAATGTAATACATATACACTTTTACAAGTATCCTTATACACCAGACTGGTTCAAAATATTAAGGAAATGATATAATTGTGAGATTGAATAACACCGGTGCGATGTGGGCAACAAGCAGCTATTGACCTGGTGTCTAGTGACATAACTGTGTTAGCGTCGCCGCTGTGCCCGCGCACCGACCAGTCGCGTGTTCACTGCCGCGAATCTCATTCGATAATTCAAGTGGTAGTTTACCTTTAGATCGATAAGAGTGACAGCCAATGACCAGTATCTTATAAACCTTAAGGCACTAGTTCGATTTTCCAAATGGTTACGTCGTAAAGTATTATATACAAAAAAAAATATTTCGAAGAAATATTAAGTGTGTCCACGTGTAGGGCAATAGCATTCATACTTCGAAGATATCTGTCCAGGAATGGGCTATGCCCATGTTGATTATGATGACAATGTAAAAATATCTTACATCCGTGATGTTCTTTTATTCGCCGGTGATCATGATGGCAGTAATTTTCAGGCAAGTTTTTTGTACTCAATTTTGGTGACAATTTTTTATTATTTAATTACTCTACTAATCGTGAAATATTAAAGAATATTTCAGGTTACCACCCTCAAATATTAAATAATACTTCATGATGATATTCTATAAATATTGAAATAAAAAGAAATTGTCACCAAAATGGAGTACAAAACACTTACCTGAAAATTACCCGTGGGAGTATAATTACTTGAGTACTATGGAATACTAACAGAGATCATACTTTATTTACAGTAAGTAGTAACTAAATGTCACTAGTGTAAAATAACAAAATGTGAATAAAAAAATTTTACTCATTTGTTGTTAGTGGGTAAACCCGCATCAGATACAATAAAAATAAAAGACCTCGTGAGTCGAGAGGGATCAAAGTCCAACACTAGGTACTCGGTCCATAAATAAAAAAAAATTAAATTGTTGACAAGTGGCAATACTAAGTGAAAGTATACTCCCATCATTCGATGTTTTATTTGTAGAACACAATTTTAGAATAAATAACAAAATTATACACGTAACTGGACGGGAAAGTCAAAGCACGTGTTCGAATGATGGACGATACAAAAAATATTAGCTTACCGTAATTTGAGCTAATGAAAAAATATTTTAAATTATATCACTTTTAGTGTAAATAATCACAGCCACTTTACGTAGGAAACTTTTAGAACAAACTTAGGCGTTACAAATTGTGTTTTAAACGCACGCGTGTGTTGTGGGCGGCTCACGTTCGGAAACTGGCCGAGCGGAGTCGCTGCCGCGACAAGTAGGTCGCTATACGCGACTGACAAACTTGAACTGCGTTGAATGAAGAACGTTTCAAAATGTGGGTAATTTAATTACGTCACTTTTACTAAAGTACTTAGAGAGTTTCCTTTTATAGACTCGTGGAAGGAAATAATTATATTAAACACATGAAACCTACTTTGTAAATTCCTATGAACGTCCAATGACAATAAACTGCAAAAACAATGTTGAAATATGTGGATAATATAGTGGCGTCACTTTTATTCAAAGAATTTATAATTTTTCCTTTTACTTTGCACAAATAATTAATTATATTTAACATAACGTAGCCAGCCTGCTTTATAAATTCAGCTGAATATCGACGGTAATAAATAAAAAAAATCTATTGTAATTAAATTAGGCAGATATAGATGTAGAGACTCATATTTATTACTGCTATAGCCATCGCCTTTAAAAAAAAACTAGTTTCTTCTCGAAGTGGCAGAACCTTATGCATTTGAGTATAGCCCTCGGACTTTAGCCACGTCATGTTGGGACCAAACTGTCTGTGCCAGCTGTGAGAGTGCTATTATTTATTATGTTTAGCGCCCAAAATTCTCCTCTATGGCCACCAAGACCCAAAACTTTACATGTCAATCAATCTATAATACCTAAGACGTAAGTTCACGCTGATAAAAAAAAAGATATTTCCAATTAAACAAAAAAATAAAATTTTTACTCGTTAGTATAAGTATTTGTGGTATGAAAGATGATGTAGTGACAGGGATAGAGAGAGGTTTGGTCATGTAGAAAGAATAAATGTTGGTAGATTGACGGCACAAATGTATAGAGCGAATGTGGATGGAAGCGTAGGAAGAGGTAGACCTCGGCGAACATATCTCAATCAGATTGAGGATGTCCTTAAAAAAGGCCGGGTTAAAAGTACCAAGAATAAACGGGCATGCATGAAGAGATTAAGAGATTGATGGGAGTGGAGGAGGCGAAGGAGGTTTGTCAGGAGCGTAGCAAGTGGAGGTCCATAGGTTCTGCCTACCCCGGTGGGAGACAGGCGTGATGATATGTACGTATGTAAGTATAGTATTATATACGTGGATTAAAGGACACAGCGGCTGACGTGGCAATGACGCAGCAGATATACTGGCCAGAAAAGGGTCGGAGACGGACGCTGTAGGACCAGAACCCATAGTGTCCCACCCATAAAAATAGTCAAGAACTATACACAAAGGCACAACATTTTCTCATAATAACATATGGACAACGCATACGGTTTGTAGACAGGCTAAGGACGCACTCCCAACGCTCACCGCCAGTCTATCTCGAAAATTAAACTTAAAAAGCGAGAGCTTCGCTCTCTAATTGCCGCCCTAACGGGCCATGGTCCTTATAATAAACACTTTTTCAATTTAGGTATCACAGACAGCCCTCTACGCAGAGCGAGCTAGGAGGGGGAGGAAACGGCTGCGCACATCCAATTACAGTGTTCCAAGGTGGCTAACTACAGGGCAAAGTACTTTGAAGTGCTGAGGTTGCTCCCCGAAGTCTTCAGCAAACCGAGGAGGTTGCTGTATCTATTTTCATTAATAGATTAAAGAGAGGAGTTTCTTTTATCCGGATACCGAAAAAATATTTCTATTGCATTTTCTACTACATTTTTTACATGGCACCATTAGAATTATTTTAAAATCCTAGTTCGATTTCCTAGGTCCGTGGTTTTGTCCTACGATGCAGTAAAACCATTTCCGAAAAATCCGGAATTCGAAACAGTAATTCATTAATATTTGGTGGTTTTAACAACTTTATGTCGCTCCTTGTAGCTATATCTATACATGTATCTATAATATGTGGAACACCTTTTTCCGACCTAAGATAAGTGTTCGCTTTAAGAGCCTCCTATCCGTTTCCAAGAAAGTTGTTCTTCTGAAAAGAGCTGATGAAAATTTATACTCAAATAATTTAAGAAATTGTGTCGCAGCCGCAATGAAGACTGATACTAATTCAAAAATATACTCTGGTAGCAGTCATGAAGTTGCGTCAATTTTCAAGGAAAAGGTCGATGCTATATTGGTAGGAAAGATGATGACGCATTGCGGTATCAATACGTAACGGGATATTATTGTTTTTCTCCTAACTTGAAATGGATGCCTCTGAGGAAATTATAAAAAATAATCAGTACAGAGTACTAAAAAAATCCCCTAGTTTGCCACCCTTAGATGTCAAATTTATACGGGATCACTACTGAGGTACCCTCTTCCAAAAAAAAAAAAGAATCATCAAAATTGGTTTACAAATTATCGCGTAATATAATAAAAAAAGCAGTCGAATTGAGATCCTTGTCTTTTTTTTTAAGTCCGTTAAAAACAAAGTGACTAAAACTCAGGGTGTGTTGTGATAAGAACCTATTTCGTATTTTTCTATCTATATGAATTTTTGGAAAATTCGACATGTATTTACAATTACAGCTTACATATTATGAAATATAATTTAATTATACCTAACGGCTGTAACACAACGCTTTTATATTTTGATTATACCTTTTTAACTATACTGAGTATATGTATTGTCTATCCATTCTAAATAAATAAATAAAAATAAAAATACAGCTCAAACTATAAATTTAACTGCCTCTGTGGTCGAACGCTTACCATGCCGGACTGCCACGCAGAGGTCCCAGGTTCGATTCCCGGGTCGGGAGAAATATTTGTATGGCCTACATTTATTTCTCTCGTGAGTTTGGGTGTAATTTGTGGTTGTCAAGGTGTGTGTCCATGGCACCCGCGATACAGGGTTTCCCTAGTACGGAGCTATGATGAGTGTGTGCGTTATTATTATTATTATTATAACTATGTAATTGGAGTGGTTAAGTCCTGATTACACCAGAAACTAGATTTATAACACTTGTGCATACCTTTAAATATATTCTAGGAAATATACCTAAATACCGCAATGAGACCATCAAGCAGAACCTTATGGTATAGTAATAACGGCGTAGCATATTTTTAACGACAACAAAACAGGATTACTCGCAACATGTGACACAATAATTGTAAAACGTTTGTTTTAATGACTAGCATACGTCGTAAGAATGACCACGCTCATGGTAAAAAAATAAAGTTGAACGTTAAAAATGAAAAATATGAATTCTAAATATAGGCAGTTATAGGGAGACATTTATATGTTTAATGAAAGAAATGTATTAATGCGTTGTCGAAGATTTCAACAACAAATGCAACGATTGTAGTGTCCATACAGATTAACGCCAAATTATATTGAGTCGCTCACTATACTCCTTAGACTATGGAAACTAAAGGACATGTTATGTTGACATATATAAATCAGACGTTTATAACGTATAAATCAGACGTTATAACGTCGAAATGCATCATATACATATATGTATATGATGCATTTCGACGTCGAAAACATAAACATGTTATTGTCTTTGTTTAACTAATGCTGTCTTAAGCCAAAAGAGTGTTTTTTCTGAGTGTTAGATCTTTGTATTAATAATTATAACAAACTAGTGGAGTAATTTCACAAAAAATAATTGAATATCAATTCAATAAAAATTTAATGAACACAGTGAATAGCGACATCTCTCGGCAGGACTGGTAGCTGTAAAGGTACTAACTGGGTGATAAATCTGTAATAGATTTCTCATAGATGGCGCTACGACTAAAAAGTCATTGAAAGACCAAGTACAAAGACACGACGCAAGCACATAGAAAAATTCGTGAGGTCCGTTGGTTCGTTCCGTGGCTTAGTTGGTATAGCGTCTGGCACGGTATGCAAGAAGACGTCGGTTCGAATCCGACCGGATCGAAGGAATTTTTTCTGAGTGTTTTTTCTGAGTGTTAGATCTTTGTATTAATAATTATAACATATTTATGTAGTTTATTCATAAATCTTGCCAAATTTTGCTTTGGTTACTTCAGATTGCCCGTTTTTTTGTATATTTTGATGATTGTTGTTAACGATTATTTTGAGATAGTGTTGTTCTTAGAAGCGTACATATTATCGATATTCTTTTACTAAAATAATTCACTACGAGATTATTATTATTTTTTTTACTATTTCAAGTTTACCTACAAATCAAAAAAGAAAATAGAATGGTTGGAAATCATACATTGAATCAAAGACCGTCTTCATTTATTCGCTTCATTAAGAGTCAAATTTTAACATAACTTTGAATGTAACTACTAGATTACATAGTAATGCAATTCCATCATTCCGTTTATTGGTAAATAATTTTATATTGAATTTAGATACACGACTCATTTACTAGGCATTCTCAGTTCCTGAAAACAAAATTTCCGTTTCCGATTTTTTTCCACTGACAACTCTAACTACTATAAATTCTTATTTTATAAAGCCAGCTATACAAAGACCACGTTGGTCGAACGTTGCCGGGTGAACGAATCAACGTATAGACAGCCTATTTGCCTTGCTTTGCCATCGTTCGGTGTTACTCGCCTAGCTGACCGAGTGAAGGCGAGCGCTAACGTGTATAGAGCTCGTTTGACGTGGCTTGTCACAACTCGCAGTCGCTCGTGACTACTTGTCTCATTTCGGAGAAGTGTCGATTTTTCTGCACAAATCGAAGGTGCTCGACTAATAGTGTGACCACTTTTTTTGAATTGACATTGTATAATTAGACATTTGCATGCTATTTAATATACGCGAAACATGTTTATACAAACACTGTCTCTTGTTACATCTCCTATTATACCATGTTTTAAACAAATTAACGTATGATAATAATATTATTATTGATAATATTACTACTTTAATTTATTTCCAAAATTAAATGGAAGTATTGAAGATTCACTTAAATCAGTCACTGATATTAATTCTATACCAACGCATAAATACAAAAAAGCTTACACTATTCGGAATATGTTTAAAAATTTCTATGAAAATATGAATCTTGAGGTTGGAAATAACGCACACAATAACGCACACACTCAACATAGTATAAATGTATAGGATTTATATTCCAA